GAACTACTGGAAGACCAAAAGGAGTAATTTTAACGCATAAAAATGTTGTAGCAAACGTTAGCAGCTTTGCGTACATGGCCACTATACTTGATCCTCGATTACTCGACGAGGATTCGGTAAGATTCTCTTTATTTTCAATTCCTCCAATCAGTACGTTAAAAAATAGAATTTAGTTAGATTTGTCGTATCTTCCCTTGTCGCACATGATGGAACAAGTATCTCATTGGACGCTGTTAATGTATGGGTGCCGAATTGGATATTTCAGTGGCAGTATTCCGGTTAGCGAGTTTTAGAATTTGCAAGCTTAAATGAAAGAACAATTTTAAAAAATAGTTAAATTTTAAGGCTTTTGTTATTGAAGGAGTTGGGTAGACGGACATTATGCTTTGATTGAGGATTTTAGAGAGTTAACTCGTGTAGCAGATCCTGCGTAAGCGGAAAAAATACAAAGATAAAAAACTAAGAGGTTTTTATACTTGAATGAACATATCCAATAGAATTCTGCTTGAATTTTAAAAAATGCTGAAATATTTCCAAAAAATAAATAAAAAATAAAGTTTTCAGGAAAAAATCAAAAACCTCAAACGAATCGTGTCCCTTTCAGATTTATTTCATCTTCACCTAAATTATGGCATAAAAACTCTTTTCAGCGCCTCACAGAGGATATGGCGGCACTTCAACCTACCGCTATAATGGCTGTGCCACGCATATTAAACAGAATATATGGTGCAATTCAGGTACATCATTTGCTTGAAGATGGTTTTGAAACCCCGTTAATTGCAAATCAAACGAAATTTCAGGCTAAAGTTCAAGGCAATTTCTTCAAAAGGATGATCTACAATATTGCTCATGCGAAAAAACTTGAGTTATTAAAGGAAGGTATCTACACAAAAGACACTATCTGGGATAAACTAGTCTTTAGTGCTGTTCAGGTAAAAACGACATTTTTGAAATAGTAAAAAAATCTTAAAAATTTGAACAAAACTTTTAAATGGTGAGATTTTTCTATGGTAATTTACCTTAAGCAAGTCAAAATAAATTGAATAGGCATCGATAAGCCCGTCAAAACCAAATTTGTAAAAAAATCATAAGCAATAATTCCAGAAACAAATGGGTGGGAATGTTAACCTTTTGGTCGCAG